CGTGTGCCAGGTGCAGGGTCTGCTGGCTGGGGGCTGGCAGGCTGGCACCTGGCACGGGCACCGTAGCCAGCACGTGCCCCTTTAAGGGGTCCGGGGCCAGGAGGGGGGCAGTAAAGTTTCCCTGGTGTTGGCCAGAGTGGCCACCAGGGAAAGCTGGGGAGGGCTAGCCTCCCACTAGTTCGAATTAAGGGGCTACACACCCCTTAATTCGAATTAGTAAGTTCGAACTAGGCTTAATCCTCGTGGAATGAGGATTACCTAGTTCGAACTAAGCGCTCCGTTAGTTCGAATTAAATTCGAACTAACGGAGCGCTAGTGTAGCGCCTATGAAAGTTAGTTCGAACTAACGTCCGTTAGTTCGAACTAACTTTGTAGTGTAGACATACCCTAATAGATTTATTTGGGCAAGAGCTATCAAGGGTAAATAACACTCTGGCTACGTCTACACTGTATCCTTCTTGCAGAAAAGCTTATACAAATGAAGCTCGGTGTGACTATATCGCCACACTTCATTTGCACAATTAATGAGCAGCCGTTTTTGCGCGAGAGGGTTTTGCGCAAAAAAGAGCCATGTAGATGGCTCCTTTTTTCCTCAAAAATCCCCTCTTGCGCAAGAGCCATTCCTTCTCAAACCTCTTGCGCAAAATGGCTGCTCATTAATCATGCAAATGAAGCACGGCAATATTCCACGCCAAGCTTCATTTGCATAAGCCTTTCCACAAGAAAGCTACAGTGTAGATGTAGCCTTTGTTCCTCATATGGTCTCTTAACTGTAACTTAAAGGTTTTTGTTGTTAATTAAAATCCAGGATAAGTAGTACATTGGTGGAAGTTTATATGTCTTAATATGCGTCTCATTGAATTAGGGAAATTTACAGTTACCTTTAAAAAAAATCAATAAAAACATAAAAAACTGTTCTTTAAATCTAAAAATAATTGTAAACATTATTTGGCTTATAGGTTCAGTGATGATGTGAAATGGATGACTGGACGACAACCAAACTTCTACTGGCAGGTGTCATGGAGAATTATTAGCCCTCTGCTTATGCTTATAGTTTTTATTGCCTTTGTTACCCTTCAGACACAGAAGCAACCAAGCTATGGAGCCTGGAACCCTAAATATGTATGTTCTCCAATATTTTTAATTCACTTATTTTCTATAACATGGTATAGTCTTCTCCTCTCCCCTGATGGTTCAAAATTCAAGAACTCACCTGGCAGGTAGGAGAGATATGTTCCCAGTCTTCTCTCTGCCTGACTCAGAGGAAGGATTTGAATCTATACCTCCTACTCCTCCTAGTCACCTGGTCAAAAACAGCCAATTTGTCTTTCTTTTCGGCCAGTGGGTATTTATATGAAGTGGAACAGCTTTAACAGAAGCAACTGAGAGTAACCCAACATCAAAGAGTCAATAGCCTGGGGGTTATGTTGTTCACTTTGGATGGGTGAGAAAGGAGTTCATGTTCCTACTTCAGCATAGATATTCAAATGCTGGCTCTTTCATATCCCAAGGCAAGTGCTATAATGACTGATACATAGGTTATGAGGGAAACACACGAGGGGAAGCTAACTGAAATTTGCTGACAATTTCCAAGTATTTTTGGAACCAAACTAATTACTTCATCTGAGATTTCAGTTTGTTTGATGAACTGAAAATCAATTATTTGTCCAGCTCTACCCAAGTCTCATTTGTGCAAAAGTGGAGACCTGCACATTTCATTCTTTTAAAATACCTTTTCCACATACAATAAACAAACTGCAGAAATTAGGGAGAAAATAAAAAAGCAAAATAATAACTGAAAGTCAAAAGTCATCTCCATCCTCCCAAAACACACAGTTAGTAGCCTGCATTTGTTAAATGTGCAGTTACATCTTACTTGCTTTTTGTACATTTTCAGGATAAGGTCCCATAATCCAGGGCAGCAGTGGCTATGCAGAGCCCCCAGTATCACAATTGGTTCCAAGATTATTATGAAGAGTTTTATTTGACTCTTAGGGTACTCTGGTATCCTGAAATAGCTACCCCATGTCTTCTGAACGTGGATCCGCTGTTTCGGCATCCCTGTAAACCTCATTCCATGAGGGATAAGGAATGTCTCAAAATAGTGTGTTATTTCAAAATTTAGTGCTGCGTAGACATGCCAAATTTCAAAATAGTATATTTAAAAATAAAGTCAAAATAAGATACAGAATTTGCATAGCACAAATTGCGTATCTTATTTTGCGCTAAGAGTGCAGTGTAGACGCACTAAAGAGTGCTATGTTCTTAGAAATTCTCACATACATTTTTCTAAACCATGTGAAGAACAGGTACTACAACAGTGTACCTGTTACCTAGTACTCTGTTTCTATTACTAGCATAATTGTTCATTTTTTTTATTCTTATTTTTTCATAGATGTAGGGGTACGTCTAGACTACATGCCTCTGGCGACAGAGGCATATAGATTAGACTACCCGGCATAGGAAAATGAAGCGGCGATTTAAATAATTGCCGCTTCATTTACATTTACATGGCTGCCGCACTGAGCCGATCAGCTGCTTGTCGGCTCAGCGTGGTAGTCTGGACGCTCCGCGGTCGACATCAAAGGCATTTGTCCATCTCCCAGGTATGCCTGATCCCAGGAGTGGGAGAGGGTGCAAGAGTGAAGTGGGGATGTAGAGTGCAGGAGCGGGGTGGGGTCTGGGCAAGAGGAGGGTGCAGGAGCAGAGGGCCTGCAGGGGGAGTGGCATAGGGCTGGAGTGCTAGCATCAGCTCCCTGATGCTGAGGAGGGATCACCGAGTCTTGGGGGCCAGATCCAGGCAAGCCAGGGGCCAGATCTAGCCCCTGAAACATAGGTTCCCCACCCCTGCTTGAAATCATTGTTCTGGAGTGGGGCTGGGATAAAGGGTTCAGTGTGCAGGCTGACCCAGGGAGAGAGGACAACCCCAATCCTCTTTCTCCACAGCAGCTTGGGGGTAGGTGAAAAGTGCCATGGCATGCAGTCCACGGCCACTGCAGCTATAGTGGGCACAGGTGGGGGAAGGGTGCATGTCCCCCAGCTGGGGGACAGACAGACATACAAATAGACAATCTCTCTGAGGGTATGTCTACACTACCCCGCTAGTTCGAACTAGTGGGGGTAATGTAGTCATCCGCAGTTGCAAATGAAGCCCGTTCCACAAGGCGTACAGCTAGTTCAGATTAGAAGCCTAATCCGAACTAGCTAGTCCGTGCTGCGTGTAGCCGCGCGGCAAGGGGTCCGAACTAGCCGGCATTTAAAAATGGCGCCGGCCGGCCTCATGCAAATGAAGCCCGGGAAATTCAAATCCTGGGCTTCATTTGCAACTGCGGATGACTACATTACCCTCCTAGTTCAAACTAGCGGGCTAGTGTAGACATACCCTGAAATACATAGTAGGTAGCTGTCCCTTTCTCCATCCCTGTCCCTTTCAGGCTTAATGGTATTATAGCTGTTCCAGTCCCCATCTCTGGCCCCTTGCTGCCCTGCCCGTGCGTCTTCCCCCTCCTCTCCCCCGGTGGTCATATTGTAGTACAACTGTGTCTCCTACAAGAACACTCCCTTTCCATTTTATGAGAAACAACTGAATTCCAGGCAGATCCCATTGTCCTGGCACACCCAAACTCTGATCTTGCTTTAAGTTAGGTAAGAGGAAGCTACATATCAAATTTGGTAGTCCTAGCTCTTACCATTTAGGAGGAGTTCTTGACCAAATGGACTCTCAGACAGATGGGAAAATTGACAGAAACACATTTCTAAAACATATAGTAAGATTGATGCAGAGAGTAATGATACCTTCTTGTTATTGATTTTATTTATTTTTATCTCCATAGGAAGGTTTTCCCATGAAGGAGGAGAAAGACTATCCAGCTTGGATACTGGCAATCTGTGTGTTGTTGGTAGTCATCCCTTGTATATCCATACCTACGGTAGCATTCTATCATCTAATCAAAAGAGTGCTAGGAAGGAGAAAAAGGAAGGACTTAAACCCTGTGAACACACTTTCAATGGCACCTCAGGAAAATGATAATGCTTTTTATAATGGTCAAGAATATGTATTCACCCTAACTATAAATCAACAAAAATAAATGTGATTTTTATTGTTAGACATTAACATCATCAGTATTTTTCTTCAAAATACTGTCTGTATCTCCTTATTCTCTAATATTTCTCCTCGTCTCGATTTCTAATAGGTCATTTTCTGCCCATACACATAATTACAGTACTGACAATTAAAAGATAGCATTGAGATATTAGCACCCATATTAATCGATTTGGGTACAATACCCTATATTTTAACTGAACAATTTTTTTTCAGAGAACTATAAATGGTCAGTACTGCACGTTTTCCACAGTATACATGTCAAGTATTTCCTCTCATTTTCAAACAGCTGCACAGTTTTTGTTTCCAGTTAAATCTTTTTCCTTCTACAAACCTCCTCTTGCTCCTTACTTACCACACAAGTTTGAGGCTGTTCCCTTGGCCTCTTTTATCCATTGTCATCTTCTTCTTCCCAGTCAGCCTTAATACTTGGTGCTCTTTGATAATTATCATATGCCACGCTCCCTCCAACTCTTTCTTTTCCTCTCTTATCAAAACTTATCTGTTCCTAAATGCTATCAGCAATAACAAACACCTACAGCTCAGACCAGGGACTGCACTTACCTGCAGGCATCAAATGTAAACTTTTTGTGTTAAAGATTCTCTGTGTTGAACATATGCTAATTCTTGTAAAGCATTCTATGCAACTATACTATAGAAGATTAAATCTGTAGGAGTTCCAAGAAGCAAAATAAAATATTACCAATGAAAAATGAAACTATACTTAAATTAAATATAGATATGATCATCAAAGGGTTATTTAGTTTTATATTGTCTTGTGGTCTTGGCACACCATCAGGTTTTATAGATTCAAATGAAAACCATTTATTTGCTCCAGAAACATAGGCATAGTACTTACAGTCATTGTATCATTAAATTCATTTCCTGTACCATACTCCAATCTTGAAGAAGTGTGGACACACTGCATTTTCTTAACTAATGTTGTAGGAGTTCTTAGGATTGTATTATTGCTTTATAGAATGAATCCAAAATAGCATTTTGTCTCAATTTCTGATCTTGTAACCTGACAGAGATGATGAATTTTGATACTTCTGCTCCAACATATTTAATAAATTTAGGCATGTGTGCTAAAGTATCTTGCTAATGTGGGATTTTAGAAAATATTAATTAAAAGGATAGCAATGAGTCTAAAATGGACTTTTATCAAGTATAAATCTATTCTGATCATAAGAAGTTTTGTTAAATAGACATTATTAGAATCAGATCTGTCAATTTGCAAACACTGCACATTTCTTTACAAAAGCACTCTACTGGCCTCTATTCAGAAGTGTTTGCCACCTCAGAGTGAAATCCCATAAAAGAAACATTAAATGACCCTACTGACAAACTGCAAGAAAGAAAGATCCGGTAACTTCACCTAGGGACACAGAAAGGTATTGCACTTTGATGGTGACTGTATATAATGATTTTTCCCAGTTGTAAAAATAATTTCCCAAATTAATTGAAGCATGAAGTATTTCCATCCACCGTTTTCTCAAATGGAATAGTATCACAGCTGTTCCATTCAGTAAGATATGGGGACTATGGAAAAATGTTTCTATTTGACTTAGTCACTAAAGCCATGGTTTTTGTTATATTAGTAATGTCCAAAACATGAAAATGAGATGAACAAGAATTCAATTTTTTTAATTATTTTTACAAACTCTCAGCAGCCTTGAACTGTAATTTCACTAAGTGGAAATTGGGGGCAAAAACAAGTGAACATAAAAAAAAAATCAGAAGTAATGCACATAATTGTCTACTCTAAATTACACTTTCAAAGGTGGAAACCAAATGAGCTACTATGAAGAACAAAAACCCATCAAAAAGATTTCATAAGATAAAATTTTTATCCAACAGTGAACAATATAAAGTTGGAAACTTTTGAATCTTAAAAGGGCAATTTTTCTATAATCATAGATATGTGTGCTCTTACAGTACTATGTATGTAAAAATAGTCTATGAAAACCATTTATGCACACAATAGTCAAGTAAAGATACATTATGACACAGAATAGTAGAATTTATAAGGGTTTACAAGTACATGCAGCATGAACTCTTTCAATGACCATCTCGATCAGCAGTGTTTCATTAATATATTATTTTATAAGTTATCTATTTAGCATCTAAAAAACCCAAATATCTGACTACTTATGGAAAACATTATCAATTGTGCAGGGAAAACATTTACATATTCCTTTACTTGTCTGTTTATAAACATATTGGGAGGCAGTGACCATCAAAAAGATTTAGAGGTGTCAAACTAATTAATTACTTAAACATGAGTTTCCAGTGTGTCACTGTAGCCAAAAGGGCCAATGCAAGCCTCAGATACATAAACAGGGGGATACTGGGTAAGAATAAATAGTTTATTTTACCTCTGTATGTGGCATTGGTGCTACCACTGCTGGAATACTGTGTCCAGTTCTGGTGCCCACGATTCAAGAAACTGAAGAGGTTCAGAAAAAGATTAAAGAATTAGATAAGGCCTTATAGTAATAGATGCAAGCAAGGAATTCAAACTATTTAGATTACCAAAGACAGGGGTAAAGTGTGATTTGTCAGTCTGTAAGTGCCAACACAGGGAACAAAATAATAGGCTCTACAGTCTATCAGGCAAGATATAACATGATCCAAATTGGAAACAGACAAATTCAAATTGGAAATAAGGTCTAAATTTTTGACTGTTAGGGTATTTAACCATTGGAACAATTTACCAAGGGTTGTGGTGGATTCTGCATTACTGACAATTCTTAAATCAAGACTGACTTTTTTAAACATGTGTTCTAGTTCAAATAGGAATTATTTGGGGGGGAAGTTCTATGGCCTGTGTTATATAGGAAGTCAGACTAGATGATCACAGTGGTCCTTTCTGAGCTTGGAATCTATGAAAATTCCTGCCAATAAAGTTGCCTAAAAGTATACCACTGTGCATGTGCCAGAGAAATCCTGGTGCCCAGCACTTACCTTACACCTAAGTTCCAGGACAATTCACAGACTAGGTCTTCCCAGGACATTCTAGCCAGTGGGCCCTGATTCAATAGCTATTCTTAAAGGCTGACTAAAAGCTGGGGTGCCACTCACAAACCCTGCTGGAGAACATCCCCTGGATAGCTTTTAGCCCACTGGTTAGAACCAGGATGAGGACAAACAAGTTTAAATGACTCCTCTGCACTACTTGAGGCAGGGATTTGAACCCACTTTTCCAGAATGCGACCTAAGCATTGGGCTCTGGCTCTCACGAGGACTCCTATCGAATCTGTTCCTGTTGAATCTGTGTGTATAAATAATTAAAAGATCATTGGAATAATAATTTGAACCTGGATCTTCCATATTCAAGATGAGTTCCCTACCACTAGATTATAAAACGACTCTTGTTTGTTCTCTGGCCCCACGGTGTAGTAAAGCTGAGTCTGAGGATCTAGCCACAAATGTTGCATTTCATGCTGTTAGTTTGACATGCCCTATTTTATGTAAAATCATGTTTACTAGCATTGATCATGTTATCATCCTTTAATTCTTTACTGATGGTGTTACATATCGATCTCTGATTTTCCCCAGGACTGACATCAAGCTAATGGGCCTAGGTGTCTCATTTCATTCCATTTACTCTCAAGAAATATAGACCCAATACTAGCTTCTTTTTTCAGTTCCTTAGAACTTTTCTGGTACTGTATTCCAACACTTGTTAAAAATCAACTATAATGGTTTAGAGACCTTTTAATATTCCTGGGTGCAAGTTATTGAATCTTGCCAAATGTTTAACTATAATAGTTACTGTTTATCACCCTTCCTAGTTACTGATAGACTAGAAAGTATTTAGTTGTCAATGGAAGATGTGAATAGTCATTCTGCTTCTTTCAAAATACAGAATACACTTCTGGTTTTACTATATCATAGAGAAGTTTGCCATCCTTTTCCAGTATAATACCTATTAATTGGCTGGAATTTCATTTGTTCCTGATATATACCTGAGAATTCCTTCTGATTGTATTTAGTCCTACTGGGCACAGACATTTCATTCATAACTTTAGTTTCCCTTACCTATCATCTGCATTTTCTTACCTCTGAATCGGCACTCATTGCTATTTTATTCTTCACTTGTTTATTTTTTATTGGCTGCTTTCACTTCCCCTCTTTATCAGAAGCCTTCTTCTGTGATTGAAGGTGGGGTTGAGTTGGAAATGTAATCTGTCATTTATCTTCATGCACGCCAACTGCCCTTCATTGTGGCAGGGACAGCTGTGTTGCCTAGTAAATGAATTACATCTATAAAATTGCCACAGGTCTCCATGTGATATGAGGAGAAACGCATCTGCCCAGAAAAACTGACCCATTATTTCTGTGCTGAGTTATATAGAGCTTGTGAAGAACAGGAACACACTTGTCTATTCTTGCTGTAGGGATTTTTAGCAGTCTGATAGCACACATGACAATGGCTATACACAATATAGCATCTTATCGATGAGCCGATTTCATCACAAAACCTGTTATATTAAGATTATTCATTATGTACAGAAATAAGATACCACTGTCTACTATTCTCTAGCTTCAGCCTGTGCCTACCCTGTTCTGGGGTCCTTTGTTTCTCTGTCCCAGCATGCAGCACTTCATAGAAACAGACCAGTTGGATAAAGAGCATATACGGTATGTGGCATCCTGATGTATCTTGGAGAGCTTACATTGAAATATACTTTCCCTTGGTTAGATACCTTTCTACAATTGTCTGGCTGAACTAAGACACCGTTTAATTTAACTAAAAGAATAACAAATATGATAACTAACTTATCAAGCCTACATGTTGCTTTAACACAGGGGTGTCCAAACTTTTTTCAAAGAGGGCCAGATCTGAAGAAGTGAACATGTGTGAGGGCTGTCCCCGCACTCTCAGCCCTAAGGCGGAGGGCCCGCAGGGCCGGAGGTGGGCGGAGAGCGCAGGGCACGCCGGCCTCACGGCGGCCCGGGCGCAGGGCGAACCCGCAGCCGAGTGGGGGAGCGGGGCTGCGGACGTGCCCTACAGGGCAGGCTCTAGGACCGCGGAGGCCCTGAGCGGCGGCGTGGCCGGAAGCGGCGCGCTGGGCGCGCCAGTTCAAAATTGCGCCGGGGAGCCAGGAGAGGGGGAGAAAGCGGGGGCCGTATTAAATCGGAACACGGGCCGCAATTGGCCCGCGGGCCGGACTTTGGACATGCCTGCTTTAACACAATGTTAAGAGACTGATCAAAACATGTTAAGGGATTTCAGCAGTATTCCTGATCTGCTGTATTGCAAATGCTGCCCCCCCTCCACCCTTTTATGCAAATCCTTTTGTAACAGACTGCTCACTCTTAGTCAATAGCGGGCATTATTAAGTGAATTATTTTCAACTTGCGTGCTTTCTGTTACTTCCCTGACAGATACTAGCATTCTCAGGTACTTTAAGTACATGTCCAAAACTGGTTGCCATCTACAGTAAACTTCCGATAATCCGGCACCGTTAGGACTCAGGGGGTGCCGGATTATCAGATATGCCGGACTATCAGAAGGGGAGGCTATGAGGGATCTGGGGTGGGGTGCGGGGATGCTACCCCAGACCCCCTCATAGCCCTCCCTTCTGATAGTCCGGCTCTGCCCCAGGAGTCCCCAATTCAGCCGCTGCTGGGCAACATGCTAAAGGGGTTTGGTTATTGTGTTGGCATCTTTTGTTGGATCAATATACAAAGTAAAAACAAACAAGTCAACCACTGGGCAGGGCTGGGTATTTTAACTCCTTTGACACACTGTTGTTGCCAGAAGCTTAAAGCTGCTCCAGAAAGAGGGCCATCATGATGCTTCTGCTTAACCAGAATAAGACCTTAATTTCAGATAATGTTTTTGAGGTTGAAGTCCTCAATTGTATATTGTGTGATAATTCTGATCAGAAGAGAAAGGGAAAACTAATGCTAATTTCTATTTCTGGGGGATGGTAAAAACACCTTCTGGCCAAAGCTGGCTAGAAGATACATAGGGTCATCCCAGGTCCAGTGCTTATGTTCCTTAAGAGCAGAAAGAGCCAGCCTGGGAATGGTGAGGTGTGGCTCTTTCTGTAGACAGCAGCAAAAATGGTTAAAATAACTTAGAGGAGAAAAATTAGGCTGTGCATATTTTTGCTTCTATATGAAATTATAGAAAGAGGGCCTGACATTTTAAAAACTTTGTTTTATATTAGGAAATCCTGGTTCACAATAGACCAGAAAACTCATTACTGGAGAGCTTTGCCAAGCCCTCCCAGTTCTTTGTTCTGTGGTAAGTGGAGTTTTGGAATGTACGCAAAGTTGAGGAGTAGGGATTTTAGTCAAACTGGATGCTTGGTTTTTATTATTGCCACCTATTTAGTTGAATAAAGGAAGAGCTGCTTAAAGGTTCAGCATTTTTGCACCTTCAGTTAAGGTATTTAAAAGTTCATAATAAGCATGCCTGAAATATCCAATAAGATCTACAAAGCCACAAAAAACTGGAGGGGCAGCACTACGGGACCAACCTGCCAGCACCCCAGCAGCTCTGCCCCCGGCTTTCCCTATTCAGCCACTGGTCAGTTTTAGCAGCGGCTGAATCCGGGAAGCTAGGGGCAGAGCAGCTTCAATGGTCCGGCTGCCCGGAGCACTTCTGGGTTCCTGATGGTGCCAAGGCCATCAGGAGTGCCGGACCGTCAGATGCTGGACCATCGGAGTTTTACTGTACTTTTCTTTTTTTTCTTTGAGATGATGAAGACTGGAGAAATTCTTTCCTTCAGATTGCAGTGGGATCTGCTCTATTGCTCTGACAGAATCTCTTGTAAAATATTCATGTGAGAGTGCTCCATGAAGAGGAGCAGGAAAGGGGAATTGGAGAC